CGTCATCACGAGGACGTTTCGACGGCTTGGGCTCTTCTGCCTTTGGCTCGTCCTCAGGCAATTCCTCGAAGCGACTAGCACGGTTAAATATACGGCGTGGAACGACTGACGGTGGTGCACTCACTCAGAATCATCCTCGAGACCTTGAAGCTCATCAGGATGTACCTCAACGTCTGAGCTAACATCATCCAGGTTGTAGGCCCCCTCGTCACTCATGTCAGAGTCCATGTCAGAATCGTAAGGTGGTTGGTTTGCATTCTGGTCTATATTGCGATACTTATTATTGAGGTCTGATAGGTACGAGGCAACTTGAGACTTACCAATGTAATTTCCATAGAGGTAGACAGTGCTGGATGAGGGATACGCATGAATTTTATTGGCCAATGATAGCTTGAACGCTGCTTACTTTTTTCCAATGAGCTCAAAGGTATACTCCTCATCGCTCTCAAGGATGAGGTCGCATGCTGACTGCTCAATCTATGCAAAAATGGCACGTTAGTCACGTACTAAAATGAAGCAAGACGTGTCAAGCCACTAACCTTGCCAGCAGTTAGCGAACAGAGAACAGCAGTGATCTCATCTTCTGGAGACTCTTCGTCGAGTTCATCTTCGTCATCAATTTTTGCAGGATTTACGTAGGTTAACTTGACGGTCGTTCTGCCAGACTCATCAGATAATTTTTCTCCAAGAGCGGCGTTCTTGATCTGCAGGTCTGCCTGAGGGACGATTGTCTCCTTTTGGCCTGGCGTCAACAAGATACTCCTGCAAAAAAAAAATGAGACATGGCAAAGGTTAAAACGTAAGCAAACTTGCCAAACAGCGACGGCAGTCATTAGTGGTAGTGGTTGTGCTTAAGACGAGACAAAGCTCAAAATTTTTGACGAGGACGCGTTTCCTGAAAAAGACGCGCTCTTACCGAATTGGTCATTATGTACTTGTACATTAATTCAGACTCCGCATTCTCTAGATTCTCTCAAGCTTCAAGACCCAATGGTAGGTCGATTATCAGAATATATGGCTGATGGGCCTACTGACGAGACCCTTGGACCGTAGTCGAACACGCTCAGGCCGTATCTCTCAGCTGTCAAGTCAACTTTAACAGCGGCTCTGACGCTCGAGAACTTTTCGTCACAAGTAATCATGATAACATGCTGTCTGACACATTTACGAGCTCACAATGGCCTAGGTCGTTGAACGACACAACAAGCCAGAAGTAGAAGTTAGGTATAACCGTATGTCTCGTGTCATCATTGCGTGTACTCATGGCGATCGGTTGCAGGGGCTCCAAGGAGGTTCTCCTGAACCCACTGACTATATCACGCAATGAGAACGAACGCGTCTTGATCGAGCCATCTGTGAACTCGATACGCATGAGTATTAAGATTAAGCAGGCTGATGAAATCGAGCGTATCTTATGTCACAAGTTCACGCGATTCTTGATGCAGAGAGCGGAGAGTTTTGTAGTGCTGCGCAGGAAGCCCGTCCTCGTGAGTGAACTGCTCGAACACGAGCGGTCATCGTGCTCTAATTCTTGCACAGGGATACGACATATCGTTCCTTATTACGAACGTCCATTCAGAGACCATGTTGAAACACAAGGTCGTCGATTTCATCATACAGTGCGTGGCATCCGAATGCTTCTACATCGTTCTCTCATCCCCGGTAACTAGATTCATGGAGGAAGTAGACAGGGAAATAAGCGAGATGAAACTCAGCCTCAATGCGCGCGCACGCACGGTAGCCGAATCGTATCTGACCGCTGTTCGTGTCTTGCTCGCTGCGCGCCTCTCAGTAAGCTAACGGCTGTGCATTACAGTTTAATTCCTGAGACACTATTCTCTCTATCACGCCATTGCACCACGCACGATAGAAATATCTTTCCCCTGCGTTGTGTAGCCTGTGTTCTCGTATGAAGGACACCATACTCAATCTGTAATTTTGCACAGTGTTTTACTTTATACTGGTGAATATCCATACCAACTGGTATAGTCGTATCGACCGACAGATTTTGCAATTTCACATCAAAGAAATGATTTATTGCATTTCGCCTTGCGAGCAGCAAGCTTCGTCGCAAATCAAAATTTTCATCTGAAGCTAACTTCGCTCCTGGTATCGAGCTGCCTAATACCACTGCTACTGTGGTGCTTACCAAGTTTGGGCTAATCGAATCACATACAGCTACTAGCCTCCTAACTATAAGTACGTAGGAACCCATAAGAATCTTCTACGCGAGCACATGAGGTCTAAGGACCCGCATACTAAAAACCACCCTCAAGGGTGATCTTAAATTCACCGCTTCACAACCCATCACCCGTTCGTTACCAGTGCTGAGATTCGCACGAGTGACTGTATCTTACCGACCATTCCAAACCTCCCCCCGGTTTTCGAGTCATAAATCACCAGACTGTGATGTTGACTGAATACCGGTCGAACATTATCGAGCGCTTCTTTCCGGCAGAAGCATGGCCACCGTTCTTCACGGACGCTGTCACTTTCTTGCCTGCTTTGAGCAGGTAAGAAGTCCAGTCGATCTTGAGCCGACTGAGTTGATTGGCAGGAGGCTTCTCTGAGGTGATTCGGAGCCACGGGCCCCCATCTCGTACCCAAGATACCCCCATAGTGACGATGAACTGTTCTTTCGTCGTTGAGTTGTGGTAGGTGAATGACGCTAACCACGAAGAATCCGGAGTCCAGGGTAGATGATGTGAACATTTGAGATCTTGTGGGGGTTGTGGTGATGGTATCGGTCTTCTCATCAGCAGGACAAAATTACTATCTTGCATCTGCAGGTTACATGAGGGAGCCGTCTCCATATGAATCACGGAGAAGCCGTGCTCTTCCACCCCGACGTGTCGAATGAAGAGCGACGTTGAGGTGTTAAAGAATGGTACTATATCAATTGAATCCGATGGTAACGGGAACGAGATGTGTATTCGTTTGACTCTGAATTCCTTGAGAGTGTCGACGATGTCTTCGAGGGTATGATAATCTATCCTTTCGTAACGTTCGGCATTGGCCACAGAGCGCCGTAAACGAATGCCGACGTTGTGGTACTCTCCGTCACTGATGCGGCGTCGACAGCTCAGGAGAGCAATGAACTCGTCCGGTTCATCCACGAGAGGTCGTAAGGGAAGGCTTATATCCAAGCCGTCGTTGGTGGCGGCAAAGTCAAGCCTGGGGGCATCTGGGCTAATGAATTTTTGACTGTAACCTATCCATTGGTCGGAGGGCACGTCTTCAATATTGCCTGACTTGGCAAAGTAATCAAGGTATGGGGCGAAGGGCCAAGTCCCTGTTTTGTAACCACCTACGCCAGGACCACACCATGCAAAAATGCTCTGGTCATGCGAAGTACGAATGATCTCCAGTTGCAGTCTAAAGAAAGCCCTTTTCTCCCCCTCTCCGTAGATGACAGGCATGTGGACCTTGAATATTCCCATGAGGGAGTAGGCTCTATCTTCTGGTCTAGTTGTCTTCCTCCCAGCAGCCCACGACATCTTGGTTGCGACGCTGAAAGATTCTCTAGTCGCGACCAGCTTGTCTGAACCGGCGTTTACGCGAGTCAATACGTTGGCATGCACTCTCGTGATGGACGAGAGAAGCCCAGCTAAGCTGTTCTTACTCCCAATCTCCCTCCAGCGGCTGTCGAAGAAGAATAAGCTCGTGGGCGCGATGAGCTCTTGCAGAGTCCACCCCCTGGTAAACCACTCGCTTTTCGCAAATGCGGACTCAGTTTCCGGGTCCCCGTTGTCGGTAACATCGTCTAGGTAGACGTAGCACACCTGGGCATTCTCATACCACGCAAACATGGAGTTGATTCCTTCTGCAAGCGCTGCGCTGCTGTTTTTGTCGATGCAGCAGGTATCAATCCAGACGTACTGATACCCATCACGCCGCGCCTGTTCACAGCATCCCTCTATTTTGGCATAGCCTTTCATGCCTTTCGCATGCTCCTGATGGATATCTGCGAATAGGACTTCTTCCTCGCGCCACCGATGCGAGAGGATCGCATAGTCCGGAGGATTTACAAATTCCTCTAGTTTTTTTGTTGTAGTGTGCAAAAGGTGCATGCTGCGGCAGATATATGATAGTCACTAATGGAGGTAGGTTAGCACGGGTCTGAGAATACACCTACATAATTTAGGCTGCGGATACCACCCACCAGTAGCACTTGCTGATCACTGATCTGAGCCTATCAATTTCGATTGATCGATAGGGAAAAACTTGCTGATGAGCGCCTGATAATGGGGTGGGAGATCTGTTATCTGACGGGCTGAGTGCGATAAGTAAACGTTTAAACACATAATGCTAACAATTTGCAATCGTAGCATGCTGCTAGCATAGTGCGGCGCGCCTTTTCAATTATGCAGGCGAGAGAAGTCGTCACATTTCACATTTATTAAGGGGTGAGGGAGCACTTCGTGTTGGCCATGACACCGTCACAGTGGCGCCGTTTCCCAACCAGGACGCATCAGGCAGCCAATGAGGTGAGGTGCGATGGAGTGACTAGATCAACCACAGTTGCGCACTTGCGCACACGCAAAGGCTTGATCGCAGTTGTGCACCCCGTGCAAACATCACAGTCGTGGATGTCGCCCCTGCGGAGTATGACCGACATAACCTGCATCCAACAGAAACTGAAGGACGTGCTCAAATTCTTCGCGGGTGATGAAGAGATGGTATTTCTCGCTCCAGAAAGGGAAAAGGGAAAAACGAAGCGCGGTACTTTAGCTTACGTTTATCACGAGTTGATACTCTGACTTCCTTGCACGAAGTGAACTGCGCTGAAGGTGACACATGGAACCTGCATATTACAGGGTCTCCTTCACAAGAATGTGGACAAGGAAAGGAAATGATGCACGCCAGCTGTAAGTGATATACGAAACATGTCAACGGAAATGCTAGTTTATGTACGCTGTCGCCAAGCCAGGCTCGTGCAGATCATTTGCGGTACCTGGAATGCAGCCATTAGCACAATGCTTGACAAATAAGAGTACAATTCACCAAAGCACACTCTTCCTGTTTCTTCTCATTTTACGCTGAAGTTGCAACATACCATAAAGTAATGCTTCAGCAGTTGGTGGGCACCCAGGGACATAGATATCCACGGGTACAATCCCTACGAGACAGATGTTAACTGGGCCACCGTTGGACCAGAATGAAAGAATGCTTACTATCACAGCCACGAACAACAGCGTATGAGTAGTGGTAGTAGCCACCGCCATTTGCGCAAGATCCCATGGACACAACCCATCTTGGCTCGGGCATTTGGTCATAGACTTTACGAAGTGCGGGAGCCATTTTGTTTGTGAGCGTACCCGCGACAATCATAACGTCAGATTGACGCGGAGAGGCACGGAAAACGACACCAAGACGATCTTGGTCATAGCGAGCAGCAGCCATGTGCATCATTTCGACGGCACAACATGCAAGACCGAAAGTCATGGGCCATATCGAACCCTGGCGTCCCCAGTTGACAATTTTGTCTAATGTTGATAGGACGTATTCTAAAATCCAATTAAGCCTAGTCAGTGGGAAGTGCATGAGGTATACTCACCAGCCTTGTTCTGGGGTTGCTCAAGGCTAAGTTGATTTGAGCCGTGCATGGCTAATGTGGTGATCGGCTCAGAAGCAGAGGAGACCGAAGTGGGTGTAGTTTCGGGCGCTTGTGCGGACTTCGACGTGTGCACGGAGCGAGCAGCTTTATAGAAAAGGCTAAAGAAAGGGTTCGCGAGGAATTGATTGATGGAACATACCATAAACCGCGAGAGCGGGTCTGAGTGCTGCTGCCTTATAGGCACTGGTAACTGCATAAGAGACTCATGAATTACGTTTAGCTATGGAAGCACACATATATTCACCTGGAGCTCTTAAAATGCCGAGCGACATGACGGTCAACGGAGAAAATGGGCTCTATGCTGGCTCCGACGATGCGGAACGAACAGCGACAGCAGTGAATTTGGCTCCCACGGTCGGAATGCTTACTTCAGCAAATAGATATACTCTTGTCAGCCAATAAAAAATTGTTCATTGCTCACTTGTCACCGACTTCCCCTGTTACTACCTTCGCACCACGAACTAACAGCATACAGCACAGGTTTCTGAGTATCAAGTCAAGCGCACCTCTTCAAGTGATTTGGGGCGACGAAATGGACACTGTACAACACATTTGACATGACAGTCGAAAAAACGTCACGGGAGGTGTTGACTCGGAGTGTCAAGACTCAAAATCACTCGCGCTCTCAGGGTGTCAAACAAGGTAGCCACGCCCCACCAACTACAGCATAGAATGCGGTCTTCCGAATTTCAATATTCTGGAGATATCAACGAAGACACTGTCACTGACTGGTATCTTGTCATGTCTCATGCCAGGTGTTTACGCATATGTGCTTACAATAAGATGTTACCATCAGCCTCAATCACGGTGCAAATCTGTCGTCCGTTTGAAGTTGAGCGGGTAGATCTTACCCTAGGCCTAGACCATTGTTGTCCGAGTCTCGTTCAAGCCGTATCAGGGTCGCAACTGCACCACCATCCTTATCAAACCCATTTCTGGGTCGGAAGTTTCTTTAACCAAGCATCGCATGGATTAAACGAGAGGCTGGCTGTCCCACTGGTGTCGATGTCGGGTGGTGGTATACATTTTAAAGTTAGGCAGGTTTCCCGTGGCCCTGTGCAGGGGCGGATCATCAATGTATCATCATACTAGTAGTACTAGATATTGACCCCCCTATGAGAGGTTGAGTTTCCATTTACGCGCTACTCGTCTGTCGATCCCGTTGTTCTTGATGTGGCCATGCGTTCACCCTGAGAACTTCCCCCACAATAGACTTCTCTCAAGCTTGTCATGGCCGCATCACCGCTTCTGCAGCAAGGAGGCTGTCCGAGTGCCTTCCAGTATGCAGTCATTGAGTCCTTTTCTGAGCGAGCAAGGTAATTCAAGCCTCACCCCCCGTTCTCACGCAGAAGCTTGGCCTGCTCCGTTCAGCTACTTAAGTTACGTGACCTAGGGTCCCGCTCTTACTCTCAGCTCGGGTTTTCATTGAGTTTTTTTTCTCCCTTCTCTTACCGCGTCAGTTCATTGCGATGTTGACCTTCCTCAAGCCCGCTGGTGTTCATGTTTCAGTCGCGACCGCTGCAGAGCCAGCTAAGGTCGAGAAGGCAGTTCTCGAAGTTTCCCCTACGGATCCGGTGCCAGACGCATCTTCTGCCGCAGATGTTTCTTCAATTCATTCAGCGAACTCGTCTTCTTCGTTGCATTCAGCTGCTTCTAAATCCACACACACAGATGCCTATGGAGCACCCTCCAATATGGGTTCTCCTCAAGTAGCCAGCCGGTCGCTCACGCCTGTGCAGCCCACGTCTATGACTATGCCACAGTCATCTGAGCAGTCACTTTTAGTACCTCCTACCCCAGGGCGTGGTCCTGGTGCTGAAACCGTAGGCAATGCGACCCTGGGGGTACCGAGTACAAATCCTTATCCCAACGCTAAAACCGGGAAGGACTTTCGTCGTTTCTCCTTCCGTTCATTTTCCTTCTTGCGCTCCGAGTCAAAACTTCCTCAGCCAGAGCGCAAGCCTTCCCAGCACTCCGAACCTATTCACACACAGCAATCCAAAGCTCATGACAAAGAGAAGAAATCACGTGTTAGCAAGACATTCACGGTTCGTGCACTGCAGTCCAAGGCCTCTGATAGGCGTGCCAGGGACACCGCAGCCATGGTTCGCTCCGTCATTGTGGGAGATCATGAAATGGTGGACGGCAGAGCAAAGAGGTCGAAACCACTCTCCAAATCTGACCTAGCGCGTGTCAAAGCCCAGCTCCTCGAGCCAAAATCCGCCAGAAAGATCATGGACCACCTGCACACAATGTCTGCATCATCAACAGATACAGGATCTGCTAATACTGGGCCAATCCATGCAGTGTGTCTTGACGCGACCGACAAGGAAATCCATGAGCAGCACTTTGTACAGTTTGGATCGGTTGCTACTGCAACAACGACTGCATTATCTGACGCGTTGTCTAACATGCACCTCGTCAGCCTTATCACTGCCCCGGACATGGGTTTTGGTGCGCCAGCATCATCGCCGGGACTGTTGGCAGGTGCTGTTCCGAGCGCAGCAACTATCATCGATGGTCTCCAGCAAATAACCCCGCAGTTACTTGCGTTTGGATTTGCAACGAGCAAGGCAATTTTGCCAGATCACAAGGGCATTGTCGTGCCCACAGATCGCCTCTCTGTTTTGACGTGTACGCATTTTCATTTCACAGGGTATCATTCAAATTCTAATTGATTATTTTTAGACTGGTGGGGATTTGAAGTCTGCATGCCACCTCCCACGATTGAGCACCTCAGTGCAGCTGCCTCCCCAGGTACTACCTTGCTCAATTTGCTGACTGCACTGTCGATTGTCAGCCCCGGCGTCCGCGAGGTATTGCCTTTCGTTCGCTATATCTCTCAGTTCGTGCAGACCGAGTGGCATATGATAAAGGCAGCCGATAAGGGTAAGGGAGTTGTCTGCTGTGCTACCTGGTAGGTTTTTAGTATCTAGCACAAACCCGATTACTAAATGTGTCTCAGGATCATGCCAGCAGCGCTGGTTCCTCGACCATGGGATTTCCCTGACCCGCCTCCTGCAACAATCGTAGTTGGCCCAGGCGCAAACCTTGCGCCAACTGCATCGAGGCCTACTACAGTTGCTGCTACGCCTAAGCCTTCCGTTGATGCGCCGCGTGCCTCGTCCGCGTACTCCAGCGAAACTGGCGAGGAAGGGGCGCGACATGGGATATCGAGTGACCCTCCTGTTCTCCCAGAGCTCAAAGTCAGTTCCCCTGCATCGAACGAAGGTACAACTTCCATCGACCTTCAAGTTCACAAGCCTTCTGCGGATGTCCCCAGGGATGCCGATTCCATTGCTCTTTAGTCATTTTTGCCGTCTTTCTCGTTACGGCCTGTCACGATTTTCCTGCTGTCTTTGAAGTTACTCGCTTTGCGCCTACTTTTCCATTTCCGACCGATAATCGTCTGGACTTACTATACCCTTCTACACATCACACTCGTTAACTACGTACCTATTTGTCATTCGTTTCATCATCGCTCGTCACGGCAGAACTTATTTTACCATCCCCAATTTATTTTACAAAGTAATGCCTCACTGGCTCAGGGCTATCATAAGGGACTTCGAGAAGTCGCTTATATCATTCAGGGAAACTTATCACTCCGCTGCAATCATTCTAGTAGTTCTTCCACATGCTCAAATAATGACTTGTACAGGTCTGTCTCCACTCATTCATATCCTACAACAAATTATCATATACGTATCCCAGTGTCCTGTTCCATGGTCGCATATGTCAATGCCACAAGACTGTCTGGATCAAGTCTGGATTCTAACTACTTGGTCAAGTTCTAAGAGAAACAGAGTAACAGTGAGCACCATCCCGCCCTGTGACTAAAGCAGACAGCGCGCACCAACTGAGGCTATACCGCTATTGAGTGATTTCAGTGACGAAACGGCTTCGTCAGACATCTGGACAGTGATCATCTACACGAGAGAAGTGTGTCAGTCACTGGAGAAATCTGGTGCCCGATCAACAAACCCCAAGAATTGGCAAAGAGCTGATGATAACTCCGCCTGTCAATGGTTTGTCAAAGGTCTGAAGATGGTATGATGACTTGAGAAGCCTACCTTGCTTCTCGATGTCTCGCTTGGCAGCCTCGATGTCTGCACCGGACTGAAGAGAGACGATGAATTCTGATGATAGATATGAGCATCAAGATGTACGTTCATTAAACTTGTGTACTCACTCGGCATTGTTAAGTGAAAAGTTATGGCTTGGAGGTTGGTATGGATATGAGAGAGGCAGCTACGATAAACTTGGAACTCCTGGAGGACTGCGGGGCCTGCCAGCTGTGCAGCCTGTGCCGGCATCTGATCCTGATCATGCCTGAAAAGGAAACACATAGGTCTGGGTCCGGTCACCCGTAATGACGCGACGCGCTGAGTCACGTATTCGCTTATTAGAAGGTTTAACGAAACTTTTGTGACTAACCAGGCTCTTGCAATTGTGTGCATGAGATTTGCGTTCTCTGAACTTGGATTTTATACACGATCTAGGCTTAGATTTATCATGCCTGTAACACGGTCAGCTACTCGGTCAGTTGCATCAACGCCAGTGGGAGGAAGCAACAAAACAACAACAGCGGTATCACCATCTGCGGTGGGCAAGTCCAGCAAGCGAAAAGCCGCTGAAGAACCCCCAGCAGCCAAGAAGACGCCTCGCACCAAGAAAACAAAGTCTTCTGAACCCGATAAAAGTGCTGTGACACTGCTCACACCAGATGGATTCATCCCGCCTCCGCCGCCTCCCCTGCAGAACGAGTCCGAGGAGACGACCTTGGTTCCCGCCGTTTTAACATTCTCGTTTGAGGAGGCTAAAGCGCATCTAATTCGCGCTGACCACCGCTTTGAGGATATATTCACAAAGCTCAAATGCAAGCCTTTTGAGTTCCTTGAGCAGGTCCATCCGTTCCGGTGAGCGTGGTACTTTCGACTGAATAGCATAGAATGCTAATATATCTATAGGGCGCTTGTAGAATCAATTCTGTGAGAAATATCTCCTGCATAAGTGAGGACTCTAAATTGAGTGTACACTTTACAGTGCCCAACAAATTTCATGGCTGGCAGCGCGATCGATCACCCACAGGTTTACTCGGTTGTATGACCCGTCATTACCCGAAAAAGTAGCAGATTATTCGTGAGTCTAAATACATGCCAAAGCATGCTACACCTGCTTGCATTAGTCATAGCGTGGTGTTAATGGTGTCATTACGAAGTGCATCAAGATCTCCAACATCTTTCTTCCCTACCCCTTATCAAGTTGCCAATACGGGTATCCTAACACTCAAGTCCGCTGGTCTCAGTACACGCAAAGCGGAGTACGGTCAGTGCCATTGTCGATTTTGTTGGGAATTCCCATCCACTGAGACTAAGTTATAATTTTCTGCCAGTACAAGATCTTGCTGCGCGATTTGCAGATGAAAGGCTTTCAACAAAAAAACTGCTTGCTGCAGATGATGAAGGCCTTGCTGAAATGCTTATAGAAGTGCGAGGGATCGGACGGGTATGTAGTTTGAATCATAATATTCGTGCTTCATTAACATCTCGCTTCTTGTCACCAAGTGGACTGGTGAGAATCATGTTGCTTTTTATTCAAGAATATCTCATAATTCTAGCGCAGTTGACATGTTCGCAATCTTCTCCCTCCGTCGTCCAAACATTCTCCCAGTGGGTGACCTCGGTATACAGCGGGGAATGTTGCGCTGGTTTCTCTCCCGTCATTCGTCTAAGCACACGTTTACCCTTTCACCGCATAAACTGAGCGGTAGCAAACCCAACGATGATAAAACAAAACCGGCAAGTACTAGCGCGATGGGACCACCGCCTGCAACGCCTGCACCGAAAACAACCCCTAGTTCTCAACTGACAGGAAATGTAGAACTAGATAATGAGGTGTTACCGACATCACTTGAATCACAATTGCAGGCTCCCGCTTCAATTGAACCGATTTCTGCGTTTCCTGAACCGTTCACTCCCTCGATTGAGAAGACTCTCGAGGCAGATGCGATAAACACAGAACCCCTTCCCGAAGGTCTGAGCGTCGCGAATTTAAAATCAAGGCTAGAAGGAAAGAAGATCAAGTATGTCACCTAGATTTTTCTCGTGGACAATTTCTCATCAGGACTTTCCGAAGAGGAGCATTCCTTACTCCGAAAGAAATGGAGGATTTAACCGCATCTTGGGTGCCATATCGAAGTCTAGGTGTTTACTATATGTGGGCTCTATCAGAGGAGAAGAAATAGGTTATCGCCCGCACCTCATTATGAATATTTCGATCTTGGCTTATGCACATCTTTTTGCCTTGTGGTATGTATATTAGCTTGCAAGTACGCAGCGCTGTCAGATTCAAACTTTAAGCTTAAGCTTCAACGTCCATAATCCTGCTTTGAAGGTTTTAACTTGCGTCGTCAGTGCTCGACCCAAGTTTAGTCACTCTGGTTGATAAACCACTTGTCTCAACAAACCCACCACGGGTCACAAAGGTAGATTTTTGTTGAGATGTAGACATTCGCTTGTCATCCAGCCAATGATACATACTACTATTGTGTCGACAGGTCGGGCGGTATGAACATGCATGAAGGGCAAATATATCGAATTGCCAGTTTGGCTCCTGTGACATGGAAAAAGTAAGGAGAACGTCTGGCATACATGGGAGCGCTGTAAGGATATCTGCGCACCGTGGCACATGACGGGTTCTTAGGAATAAGATACACAGTCCCGCCAGCATGACCCCTCGTCGACTCATGTATCCAGGAGAAGAGCAATATCATACTCAACGCTATATACGGTCGTCTCTGCTGAAAGAGTCCGTGATCAAGAGTTCCTGCAGTGAAATTACGTATTAGCCAGTGCCAAGGTCAAGATACAGGAATCCACCTCAGGTGCGAAGGGCCACCGGTCAAAGGCGCCGACGACAGCAGCCCAGTCCTCTACACTCATTTTCCTGATGCTCTTCATCATGTCAGTCCTCTGATCAGGTGGAACATCATCGCCCGCGAGGTAGGACTTCAAAGCATCTGATCCAGGTGCTAGATGACTAAAGGAAGGTCGATGATTTTTTTTCACGATTCAAAGTGAACTCTGATCATACCCAACAGCGTCCTTGAGAGGGGTCGACTTCAGGACAAAGAGTTTCCGTAGGCAGTAATCCCATTTGTCCAGCATACCTGGCTGAATGATCTGCACATGACGTCAGTAATTTAAATATGCAGTAAAACTGACAAGTACCTGATGCTCTAATGGTCTGAATGTACCCGCTATGAATGGTGTACCTCTGCGCCTGTTTTCAGTCCTTAGAGAATATGCAGGGTTCGTAGCATCAGGATAGAAATGGCTATTATATGGTACCAACAACTGTGGGTCAATGGTGTGATTAAACTCAGAAACGGCTTGTGCGATGACGCTCAGCTTGCACCGAGCCTGATCCTCAGGAGATGCGGAAATACGCTATCACTTGTGTCAGATAGGGATAGTTAGTCTGTGGAATAAGACCACCTACATCCCGTACCCAGTCGTGCATTAGATAACTCATTGAAATGCGACCGTATTTGAACAGCCAGGATTGTTCTGGTGCGCAGCGCAATAGTTGTGCTAAGAGCTGCTCGCCCAGGACATCCATAGGAAGGTGCGAGATAAAGTGTAGATATGGATTTGACTGATTCCATGGGATATTCTCCACGTCATCCAAGAAGCCTTGGACGTCTAGCTGATGATACGTATCCCACGAGAAACCGTTCATTGGCAAAACTTGTACTCTAGGGTCCGCTTCCTGCAGCGGCTGTTGAAGACTATTAGCATGTTCAAACTCTGTAAGGCTCATTTCGCACTTTCAGAAAGTTAAGGTACTGTTCTACGTCCTCAAGCACGATGATTTTTCGGATCCGTTCTTTCGGCAACTGCATCAAAGCGCGAGTTAACGCACCAGGACCTTTGCGGGCTCTGTAAGCACCAAAAGATTGGAGTTGAAGTATTGGTATCCTCACCGGGATACGCTTCTACAATAACTTTATCCCTCGAACCACTAGGAACAAATGAATCTGCAACTAGTGCTGCCGTCTCGGGGTTAGCGATGGAAATACGACTTTTGAATGCCATGCCGCTGGTGGGAAAGTAGTTTCTCCATGTTGAACGCGGGGGAAGATCGATTCTGTTGACCGGGAGTGGTATGTTAGCTTTCCGTGGCTTGCGCTTGCCGACAGCTTTCGGAGTCGAAGCAATTTGGGGTTCAGCTTCGAGCTTGATGTTCTTGATGTTTTGAATATCCTCGGAACGAGCGCGTCTTGTTGGCTGTGTCGTGAGGGCCTCCGCGACGATGTCCTCAGGAATATTCTTGGTCCTGTAGGAGCATCGGATGCTTGTCGAAAATGACCTCCGAAGGAGAAGTGGAAAAGACATAGAATGATGACTAAGCTACGCGAAACGCGTAGACTGGTGGTAGACGTCTAGACTCAAAGTACTTGTTATTTTCTACTCCGAGTCATCGGAACCTACGCGTGTATATATAACTTCGTCCGTTGTCCAATCTCCTTCGTCCGCCTCTCTCACTGAATTGCTGTGAGACAACTACCGAAATTGTTCTCAATTTTTTTGCAAGTTCTCAAATTTCGCGTTGGGCCACCCGGTGCAACAATCAAATGATGCGCAAGTGCATGATGCATGATGGACTGTGCGGTGCTGTTCGGAGAAAAACTGTGCCAAGACACTAGTGGCACATTGGCGCACTGATCATCTCCACCAACAAGCAACATACACGAGCAAAGAAGCCGTGTTGATCGTGGCATATCGTCTTGATGGGTTATACTCTCGTGGTCTAATTTTGTGCGTTGCAACCTACATACTACATGTAAGGTGGTCGTGAAATTATTCGATATGGACACTCACACTTGACCCTTGTCATCTAGATCATGCATACATGGCTTACACTGAGGTCCAAGGAAGCCTTCAGAGGGGGTGATAGATTATAGCTCATTGACCACCAGAATGGTATGCAACCTTGTTTTTTCTCAAGCAATCTGAAGGCTAAGCACGTGCGTTCTGATATCTTCAACTGTTTCCGAAAACGCCGACGCTACCAGGCAGTTCAAGATGCTCTTCTTGGATGGAATCAGATATACTTGGTATGTGATGATATCACCCCTCTGAGCGCTGAGATCGAACAGCATAGTGTCTTCAGCCAGCAAGATTACCATCTCCTTGTTCGTGGTACTGCTTTCTGTTGTCAATTGACCTTGAAGGCGCCCATGATGAGATGATGATCAAACATGAGTTGAAAAGCGCAGAGAGCATGATGCTTGGCATTTGGTGTGGGAAATCAGCTCACAGTTATTCCGCATAGTGTACGGGCGTTGCAGTTCTTCCATTTGCATCAAACTGTAACCGCTAAGGAATGGAGCAGAACAGACACGAATGGCATGGTTTTCTTCTCTGAGTTTCAAATCCACCCTGTTGCAACTGCTTACGGGGTAATCCCGGTACTCTGCATTTGCTACATTGGAAACCCATTGCCAGTTTCGCGACACAGATAGGACCTGCTACTGGTTTTGACTCCATCACTATGTGCAGTCTAATTTGATCTCGCACGGTGACACAGCGAATGCACAGTTTCGAAATCGGTGCAATCATGCAAATTCAGATCTTGGAAATATATAAGAGCGAGTTCTGGAACCTTATCTAGTACGAGCGTACAATGGTCGCGCCCATAGAGAATATAGGAATCCAGACGGCGAAGGTAAGGAATCCCCAATATTTGCCAGATGAAGTCTGTTGACTGAAACTCCTCTAGTATTGCAATGGTACGTGGACTTCATGCACTGGCAGGCGTTGACACCATTCTCATCCTGAATATATGCAGTGGCCAGTCTAGGAGTTTTGGTAGGTCTGTATACAAATCATGGACAATAATCCCTCTTATACTTCCTAGATTTTTGACTATTTCTTAACGCTCGAACCTGAAGTGAGCATTTCTTCGTCGAGTTCGAACATCTCTTGACAGATGTTACAAGATTCGATGGGCATGGAATAGACGCTGGAACGTCGCTCGTGTTCTTTTTGTAATCTCACGCTACATGGCCTTTGTAGCAGCCGGCATGACTTCATACGGTGAGCAACTACCCGTATCTCCTGGTACATGGCATTGACGAGTGATTAGCTATCCTTGCTACACGAGCGAACGAGAATGTTGGTGTATATTGTTTACGTGGTTGTTGTACGAACTGAACGACGACGAATACAGTGCTCGAACTTCAGCAGGGCGTCAAATGGTGATCGATACCCTGAACATTCAGCGTCTTGTCACTGATTTCACTACAGCAATTCATATCATCAGTATTGTAGCTGCTGAAGGTTCGCTCCATTCCTGTAGTGTCTTCTGGGCCTTATATTTATCTCTCATAGGTCTTCTGATCATTCGTACATATGCGTTCTGGAAACAGAGCAAGAAGCTCTTGGCAGTGTTACTGGTCTTGGCAGCAGTACGTTGGTCTTGTCATGCATGCTCACACTCATCACCTGTTGATATCGCAATGTAGATTTGCGTTGCGTGTGGTGTCGGTATCACAGATTTTGTCGGTGGCCTACTAGCGGTGCCTGTCAACCCTTCAGGTGGGTTTGCATTATTTTTTCTTTCCCTGTTGTAGACGACAAACGTGCTTTTCAAGCTCCCCCCACAGGCAACTGCAATTTTGAAACGACTCGGGGCAGTGCCATTCAATATGGCTTTCTTATAGCCTACGAACTATGTAAGGATATCTCGTCCATTCCATCGCAGCACAACTTTTCAATCCCATTCACCTAGTGCTGTTGTCTTTAACGGTGTTCAAGAGATATGAATACTACAATGATTGCAACGGTCGTCTAGTGAGAGCCATCTTCCAGGGCGGAGTGCGGTATATGACTGCCATAATCTGTGCGGTGACTTTTTTCAATTTAACATGTCCCGTGCTGAAGCGCTTCTTGCAGTCGTTTCTGTGGTCAATATAGTGATCACATCTGCGGTGCCAGTAAGTTGCATATTGTATGCGCTCATTTGACAATTTTTGTTAATTTGGGCAAGTTATCATATAGCGAGATGATGGACTTGTGCGTGGCAATTCGTTTAACGTGTCTGATAAAATCACTGATGCGTTGTGGCAGACCACAAGTTGTCCTCCATAGTATGTTGGCATCTCGTGTGCTGTTTAGTCTACGTGAAAGTGACCAGCATGAATTGGATTTGGCGACATTACAAATGTCGACATTTCGTCCAGCTCAGGCGGATTAAAGGCATACTTCATTTGATTGATTTTATCCCATAGTCATGATATGGTCCATCAGGATGCAGACGTAACATAAAAGAGAGTTTGCCTAACTAACGACAACGTGATTTGAAGCGATCAACTCGAAGGTCCGTGATTCCTGGTAAAAGGGAGTGGAAGGAACGACAAAGAGAACGAGTGAGGATACGTGAGGTGTGCTGAACTCGACGTCCGCGGTAGGTCGAACAAGGGGAAAAACTGTGCTAACCGTCACCCGGAAGCGTGGTGCTCCGACAAGCTACGTTATGCGGGACAATATGTAAACAATTAATAAACGATAAACGATGTTTGATTGGCTGACTGAGCTAGTGCGGCTGATCAATTACGTGATGGTGACTGGACGTGGGCGCAGTGATCATCTTCTCCAACGAGCACTCTCGATTTTATTCCACCAAGCAAATCACCAGGATTGCGATGGTATGCGACCTAGTTTTTTTTCAATATTGTTATAGCAGATTAATATTGGAGGCTAAGCGCGTGCGTTTTGATATCTCAGCTGTTTTCAAAAACACCGAAGCCACCGGGCTTCAAAAACCAGTACAAGATGCTCGGTATCGATACAATGAGCATCATGATCATAGTGATGCTATCACCCCTCTAAACTGGTTTTTTCAGCAAACAACATTATCATAATATCCGTATTCATGGCATCTACTGTTTTCCGTTGTTCGTTGACCTTGATTATCACTGAAGGCGCCTGCGACGGGATAATGAACATGTGAATTCAAACGTGCCAAGAGCATGATGCTTAGCATTTTGCTGTGGCAAATCATTGATCATTAATCAGCTCACAGTTGTTCCGCACAGTGTACGGGCGTTGCAATTCTTCCATTTGCATCAAACTGTAACCGCTAAGGAGTGGAGCAGAACATATTCATTTCGACACGAATGGCATGGCTTTCTTCTCTTGAGTTTCAAATTCACCCTTTTGCCAGCGAGCAACTGCTTATGGGGTAATCCCGGTACTCTGCATTTGCTACATTGGAAATCGATTGCCAGTTTCGCGACACGGATAGGACCTGCTACTGGTTTTGACTGAATCACCATGTGCAGTCTAATTTGATCTCGCACGGTGACACGGCGAATGCACAGTTCCGAAATCATGCAAATTCAGATCTTGGAAATATAAAAGAGCGAGCTCTGGAACCTTATCTAGTACGAGCGTGCAATGGTCGCGCCCCTAGAGAATATAGGAATCCAGACGGCGAAGGTAAGAATTCCCGAATCTGTTTTCCAGATGAGGTTTATTGACTGTAACTGCTCTAGTATTGCAATGGTACGTGGACTTCATGCAGGCGTTTACACCATTCTCATCCTGAATATGTGCAGTGGCCGGTCTGGGACTTTTGGTAGGTCTAGAAGCCATGGACGATATTCCCTCTTATGCTTCCTAGATTTTTGACTATTTCTTAACGCTCGAACCTGAAGTGAGCATCTCTTTTTCGAGTTCGAACATCTCTTGACGAGTGTTACAAGATTCGATGGACATGGAACAGACGCTGGAACGTCGCTCGTGTTCTTTTTGTAATCTCACGCTACATGGCCTTTGTAGCAGCCAGCATGACTTCTTACGGTGAGTGACTGTCTGTATCCCCTGGTACATGACATTGACGACTGACTAGCTATCCTTGCTACACGAGCGAACGAGAATGTTAGTGTGTCTTGTTTACGTGATTGTTGTATGAACTGAAGGACGACGAATACAGTGCTCGCCCTTCAGCAGGGCTTCAAATGGTGATCGATATCCTGAACAGTCAACGTCTTGTCACTGATTTCACTACAGCAATTCATATCATCAGTATTATAGCTGCTGAAGGTTCGCTCCATTCTTATAGTATCTTCTGCTTATATCTATCTCTCATAGGTCTTCTGATCATTCGTACATATGCGTTCTGGAAACAGAGCAAGAAGCTTTTGGCAGTGTTACTGGTCTCGGCAGCAGTACGTTGGTCTTGTCATGCATGCTCACACTCATCGCCTGTTGATATCGCAATGTAGATTTGCATTGTGTGCGGTGTGGGTCTCACAGATATTGTCGGTGGCCTACTAGCGGTGCCTGTAAACCCTTCAGGTGGGTTTGCATTATTTTCTTTCCTTATTGTAGATGACAAATGCGCTTTTAAAGCTCCCCCCACAAGCAACTGCACTTTTCAAGCGGGTCGCAGCAGTGCCATTCAATATGGCTTTCTCGCGGCCTACGAAATATGTAAGGATATCTCGTTTCCATTCCATCGCAACACAGCTTTTCATTCCCATTCACCTAGTGCTGTTATCTTTAATGGTGTTCAAGAGATATAAAGACTACAAAGATTCTAACAGTCGTCTGGTGAGAGTAGTCTTCCAGGGCGGAGTGTGGTATCTGACTCCCATCATCTGTGCGGTGACTTTTTGTTCAATTTAATATGTCTTGTGCTGAAGCGTTTCTTGCAGTCGTTTCTGTGGTCAATACATTACTTACAGTTCTGGTGCCGGTAGGTTGCATGGTGCATCTACTCGTTTGTCAAATTTTGCTAATTTTGGGCAGCAATCATATAACGAGATGCTGGACTTGTGCGTGGCAATTCATTTAACGTGGTCTAATAAATAAAATCACTGATGCATTGTGGCAGACCACAACTTGTCCTCCACAGTATGTTGGCATCTCGTGTGCTGTTTAGTCTGCGTGAAAGTGACCAGGATGAATTGGATTGGGCGACATTGCAAATGTCGACATTTCGTCCAGCTCAGCAGGACCAAAGGGATACTTCATTTGATTGATTTTATCGCATAGTCATGATATGGTTGGTCCATCAGAATGCAGATGTAACATGCAAGAGAGTTTGCCTAACTAATGACAATGTGATTTGAAGCGACCAAGGTCCGCGATGGGAGTGGAAGGAACGACAATGACAGCGAGTGAGGATACGTGAGGTGTGTTGAATCGACAGGTCGAAAAAGGAACGGAAGGGAAAACCAACATTTTCTGGCCAGCCTAAGCCTCAGAGCTCTGCGTACAGTAGGCTTGCAAAATAAATAATTGGTAGGATACACTCAACAGGACATACTGAACTAATATATATACTACCAATACCAGACGGAATGCAGTTACAATGTTCCGTACCTCATTTACCAATGGACTTATTATGTAAGGTACCGTCCATGCGCTGAGTGAGGTCACCGTGTTTGCTCGTACCTTGCTGTGGAAGCCGAACAATTTCCGAGTGATGGACAGTTACTCATCACTTGTTATTTTCCACTCCGAGTCATCGGATAATACGCGTGTATATATAACTTTGTCCGTTGTCCAATCTGTGTGCACCCTTCGTCCGCCTCTCTCACAGAATCGCTGTGAGACAACTACCGAAATCGTGCTGCAAGTTCTCAAATTTCACGTTGGGCCACCAATGAGGCAATCAAATGATGCATCGATGATCAAGTGCATTTAAGACGCATGACGGACTGCGCGGTGCTGTTCAGGAGAATATCTGTGCCAAGATACTAGTGGCAGTGATTATCTCCACCAACGAGCACTTCCGACATACTAATGCACATATATATGCGAGTGAAGAAGCAGTGTTGATCGTGGCATACCATGTCGATGGGTTATACTCTCCTGGTTGCGTTGCGACACCTGTAAGGTAGTCGTGAAATTACTCAATATGGCCACTCACATCCCTTGCACCGAGGTCAGAGGGGGTATCGACCTTGTTTTCTCAATCAATCTGGAGGCTAAGCACGTACGTTCTCGGAAAACACCGAAGCTTTCAAGATAGGCTCGTTATGTGATGATGTCATCCCTCTTCTCTGAGTTTCAAATTCACCGCGAGCAACTGCTTATGCCAGTTTCGCGACAAAGATACGACCTGCTACTGGTTCTGACTCTATCACCATGCACAGTCTAATTTGATATCGCACGGTGACATGGCGAATGCACAGTTTCGAAATCATGCAAATTCAGATCTTGGAAATATATAAGAGCGAGCTCTGGAACCTTATCTAGTACGAGCGTGCAATGGTCGTGCCCTTAGAGAATATAGGAATCCAGACGGCGAAGGTAAGAATTCCCGAATCTGTTTTCCAGATGAAGTTTATTGACTGCAACTACTCTAGTATTGCAATGGTACGTGGACTTCATGCAGGCGTTTACACCATTCTCATCCTGAATATATTCAGTGGCCGGTCTGGGACTTTTGGTAGGTCTACAAGCCATGGACGATATTCCCTCTTATGCTTCCTAGATTTTTGACTATTTCTTAACGCTCGAACCTGAAGTGAGCATCTCTTTTTCGAGTTCGAACATCTCTTGACGAGTGTTACAAGATTCGATGGACATGGAACAGACGCTGGAACGTCGCTCGTGTTCTTTTTGTAATTTCACGCTACATGGCCTTTGTAGCAGCCGGCATGACTTCATACGGTGAGCAACTATCCGTATCCCCTGGTACATGACATTGACGAGTGTCTAGCTGTCCTTGCTACACGAGCGAACGAGAATGTTAGTAGTGTGTCTTGTTTACGTGGTTGTTGTATGAACTGAAGGACGACGAACACAGTGCTCGAACTTCAGCAGGGCTTCAAATGGTGATCGATACCCTGAACATTCAGCGTCTTGTCACTGATTTCACTACAGCAATTCATATCATCAGTATTGTAGCTGCTGAAGGTTCGCTCCATTCTTGTAGTGTCTTCTGTGCCTTATATCTATCTCTCATAGGTCTTCTGATCCTTCGTACATATGCGTTCTGGAAACAGAGCAAGAAGCTTTTGGCAGTGTTACTGGTCTTGGCAGCAGTACGTTGGTCTGGCCATGCATGCCCACACTCATCACCTGTTGATATCGCAATGTAGATTTGCATTGCGTGTGGTGTCGGTATCACAAATTTTGTCGGTGGCCTACTAGACGCGCCCGTAAACCCTTCAGGTGGGTTTGCATTTTCTTCTTCTTTCCCTGTTGTAGACGACAAATGTGCTTTTCAAGCTCCCCCCACAGGCAACTGCAATTTTGAAACGAATCGTGGCAGTGCCATTCAATATGGCTTTCTTGTGGCCTACGAACTATGTAAGGATATCTCGTCCATTCCATTGCAGCACAACTTTTCAATCCCATTCACCTAGTGCTGTTATCTTTAACGGTGTTCAAGAGATATGAATACTACAATGATTGTAACGGTCGTCTAGTGAGAGCCATCTTCCAGGGCGGAGTGCGGTATATGACTGCCATAATCTGTGCGGTGACTTTTTTCAATTTAACATGTCCCGTGCTGAAGCGCTTCTTGCAGTCGTTTCTGTGGTCAATATAGTGATCACATCTGCGGTGCCAGTAAGTTGCATATTGTATACGCTCATTTGACAATCTTTGTTAATTTGGGCAAGTTATCATATAGCGAGATGATGGACTTGTGCGTGGCAATTCGTTTAACGTGTCTGATAAAATCACTGATGCGTTGTGGCAGACCACAAGTTGTCCTCCATAGTATGTTGGCATCTCGTGTGCTGTTTAGTCTACGTGAAAGTGACCAGCATGAATTGGATTTGGCGACATTACAAATGTCGACATTTCGTCCAGCTCAGGAGGATTAAAGGCATACTTTATTTGATTGATTTTATCCCATAGTCATGGTATGGTCCATCAGAATCCAGACGTAGCTTAAAAGAGAGTTTGCCTAACTAATGACAATGTGATTTGAAGCGACCAAGGTCCGTGATGGGAGTGGAAGGAACGACAATGACAGCGAGTGAGGATATGTGAGGTATGCTGAACTCGACGTCCACGGTAGGTCGAAAAGGAACGGAAGGGAAAAACTGTGCTAACCCTCAGCTGGTGCTCCGACGAGCTACGTTACCTGGCACTTGGACAATGCCACGTACCAGGAGATACGGGTAGTCGCTCACCATACGAAGTCATGCCGGCTGCTACAAAAGCCATGTAGCATGAAATTACAAAAAGAATACGAGTGATGGCGCCTGTTCCATGTCCATCGAACCTTGCAAAATTATCAAGAGATGTTTCGAACTCGATAAAGAAATACTCACCTCAGGTTCGAGCATTAAGAAATAGTCAAAAATCTACAAAGCATGCGAGGAGATATCGTCCATGACTTGTAGGCCTACCAAACCCCCCAGACCTGCCACTGCAGATATTCAGGATGAGAATGGTGTAAACCCGTGCACGAAGTTCACGTACCGTTGCATTGCAATACCAGGGTAGTTTCAGTCAATAAAATTCATTTGGAAAATGCATTTGGGAATTTCTACCTTCGACTGTGGGAGCGACCATTGCAGGCTCGTGATAGATAAATCTCCAGAACTGCAGAACTTGCTCTTATACATATCCATGATCTGAATTTCAAACACGGCGAGAGACTGCACAGGTGAACCAGTAGGAGGTCCTACGTATCATTGGCGAAATATGCATTAGACTGCAAATGCAGAGTACCGTTACCGGGACTATTCCACAGAAGGGCGAATTTGAAACTCAAAAGGACAACCACGCCGAAATATTGCATGCATGTCGACATCATTTGCAGCCAGTCACCATCGTGAAGTTCGAACTAGAGATGCACACCTGGTGAATAGAGCACTGAGTCTAGAGTCTAGACAAAATCGGTCAAACACTGGCTGACATATCGCCTGACCCTCGACCACCAGGACTCCGGAACCCCACCACGAAGGGCCAAGGCCCGACATCGCGGCGTGCACCAACTCGAAGGAGCCCTCGCGGACACCTATAGGCACCCTGAAACTCACCAAAAATATTATAGGATTCACAAAACCCCCACAGCTCACCATGAACGCCGTTGCCGTTACGCCCGCGCAGGAAACGCAGGCATTCCTCTCATGAGTGGCGCCGCCGCCGCGAATAGACATTCAGCAATGCTCTCGGCCCACGGTACTGACAACATATCCAAACCTCCTCTATCACTTATAAATGTTCTCGATGAACTACCTCTTGTCCCCGCAGGCTACAACATAATCGTCGCGCTTTAGCCTATTTCACTCGCGGTAGGACCGCAGATCCACGTGCCTCAACGCCCGGCGCGCCGCTAGATCTCAGTACCTCCCTCATCAGCTCGCGTGATCCCGTAGCCATCGTATCTTCATCAGTCGACTCCTTAGCACGGCGAAATGCTATCGCGCTTACGAACGAGAGTAAGCGTTCAAAGGAACTCAAGTCTGAAATACACCGTTCATGGCATACGATTATATGTGTCTATATTATGGCGTCACGATGTTGCAATATCACGGTACACACTTCGACAACAGGCAGAATTATATTGTTTTACCCCCGCTATTCCTATTTTTGTCATGCGGTCACAAATGCCCGTCTGGTGAATAGGAAGCACAAGCGACGTGGCCAGATCAAATGCTAAGCCAATGAGCAGAACTACCCAAAATTCTTCAGGTGCGTTCCCCTTTTGCTCACTTTGGCTGCTGCTTTTGAATTATGTAGGGCATAGCGGCATGTACACTTTCGGATATCCTCACGGACTACAACACGAAATGATTATCAACAATGCTTACGCAGGCGAAACTTGCGAGTGTCGTAAACCAATGTTGATGTGATATGAATGTACTGGTCTGGTGGCGGTGAGCAGTGTTCGCTCGTCGTGCGCACAATCTGCTGTCCTCCTGAATGGTACGTGAAGATATCTAACATTCAGCCCTCTGCTGAAATCGAACATAGTGTCCTCTGCAGCGATTAAGCTTACGATATCCGTACTCATAGCAAGTAATTGAACTGCCATTTTTCTGCTGTGCCATGGCCCTGAAAGGCGTGAGATGATGGATATGTAAGTTGAAATGCGCTAAGAGCATATGGCCAAATCAGCTCCCGTAAGCTCACAGCTTGTTCTGTAATATATTGACGTCTCGCATGTAGTAACCGTCAAAGAGCAGAGAAAAGTGTCACCGTTGAGAGAGATTTCAACATTTCGACCCGCACATCCTCTTCTGATGCTGAATTTCAATTTCACCCTTATGGGCAAGTCCAATGCCACCATCAGCTTTACGATGGGGATGGGACCTGGTTTTGATTGAATCACCTGCGCAGTTTATTATAGATAATCTCGCACAGCGAATGAAAATTTACGAACAGATTGAAATTTAAATCATGTAAGCATATAAGAGCGAGTTCTGGAACCTTATCTAGTACGAGCGTGCAATGGCCGCGCCCCTAGAGAATATAGGAATCCAGACGGCGAAGGTAAGAATTCCCGAATCTGTTTGCCAGATGAAGTTTATTGACTGCAACTGCTGTAGTATTGCAATGGTACGTGGACTTCATGCAGGCGTTTACACCATTCTCATCCTGAATATGTGCAGTGGCCGGTCTGGGACTTTTGGTAGGTCTACAGGCCATAGACGATATCTCCTCTTATGCTTCCTAGATTTTTGACTATTTCTTAACGCTCGAACCTGAAGTAAGCATTTCTTTGTCGAATTTGAACATCTCTTGACCAATATCACAAGATTCGATGGACATGGAATAGACGCTGGAACGTCACTCGTGTTCTTTTTGTAATTTCACGCTACATGGCCTTTGTAGCAGCTGTCATGACTTCTTACGGTGAGTGACTATCCGTATCTCATGGTACATGACATTGACGAGTGACTAGCTGTCCTTGCTACACGAGCGAACGAGAATGTTAGTGTGTTTTGTTTATGTGGTTGTTGTATGAACTGAAGGACGACGAATACAGTGCTCGAACTTCAGCAGGGCTTCAAATGGTGATCGATACCCTGAACATTCAGTGTCTTGTCACTGATTTCACTACAGCAATTCATATCATCAGTATTATAGCTGCTGAAGGTTCGCTCCATTCTTGTAGTGTCGACGTCTTCTGAACCTTATATCTATCTCTCATAGGTCTTCTGATCCTTCGTACATATGCGTTCTGGAAACAGAGCAAGAAGCTTTTGGCAGTGTTACTGGTCTTGGCAGCAGTACGTTGGTCTTGTCATGCATGCTCACACTCATCGCCTGTTGATATCACAATGTAGATCTGCATTGCGTGTGGTGTCGGTCTCACAGATTTTGTCGGTGGCCTACTAGCGGTGCCCGTAAACCCTTCAGGTGGGTTTGCATTATTTTCTTTCCTTATTGTAGATGACAAATGCGCTTTTAAAGCTCCCCCCACAAGCAACTGCACTTTTCAAGCGGGTCGCAGCAGTGCCATTCAATATGGCTTTCTCGCAGCCTACGAAATATGTAAGGATATCTCGTTTCCATTCCATCGCAGCACAACTTTTCATTCCCATTCACCTAGTGCTGTTATCTTTAATGGTGTTCAAGAGATATAAGGACTACAGAGATTCTAACAGTCGTCTGGTGAGAGTAGTCTTCCAGGGCGGAGTGTGGTATCTGACTCCCATCATCGGTGCGGTGACTTTTTGTTCAATTTAATATGTCGTGCTGAAGCGTTTCTCCTAGCTGTTTCTGTGGCCAATACACTAATTACAGTTCTGGTGCCGGTAGGTTGCATGGTGCATCTACTCATTTGACAAATTTTGCTAATTTTGGGCAGCAATCATATAACGAGATGTTGGACTTGTGCGTGGCAATTCATTCAGGATGGTTCAATGAAAAAAACTGATTGGCATCATAACAGACCACAGCTTGTCCTCCACAGTATGTTGGCGTCCCGTGTGCTGTTCAGTCTGCGTGAATGTGACGAGGAAATGGACGGGACAACATTAGAGATTTCGACATTTCGTCCACTTTAGTACAATACAAGGCATATCTCACTTGGACTTGGTTGATTATCATACAGTCACAGTAGCCGTATGCCCAGTAAGAACGTATACGCAGTATGAAACAGATCTCGCCTATCAAGGGCAACCAAACTGCAGGAGACTGTCATGAAGCATGATCATCTGTCGTTCCATCTGATTTCCCTGCCCTGCATCTTCGTTGTCCTCATCTAGACTGCTCTTCACCTCTTCCAGCGAAATCGTTGATGGATCCGCATCCGTCCAGTGACAGGAGCCCCTGATGTGCTCGCAGGAGACGCTCAGAATCTGCCAACCATGCCGCGTGTTATGCAGCCATATAGACCCCGCAAGTGTGACGCTCTGCAAAGAGGGACATAATGCGTCGGGAGCGCCAGGGGTCCTGGCGCAATAGCAGGAGTCCTGGCCAGTAGTCGATAGTCCTATACTGTGTTGTCGTAGTCGGTCCTCGAACCGTAGCCTCCCGCTATAGCGGTTTGGCCTTGATTTCCCTCGCAGTCCGTGCCCGTTCCAGTGCCACCTTGGCGCGAGGGTAGCCGTCAAAGTTTTGTCGTGTAGTGCATCGCAGCACGAGAAGCAAGATGCTGGTACAATGCAAAACATCTCCCATTTTCGGGAGCTATAGCCTACGAGTAAGGCGCTGATGTTGCACGAGGGGTATGCACTAGAAATACATACTTGATCAATTACTCCTCTAGTGCCCCAATCAGACCACGAATGGGGGAAATCATCGGCAGTTCACCAAATGTCCACTGTAAACTCTGAATTAATGTGAGACCGTGCTAAGATACTGCAAGAGAAGATCGCAGGATAGCTGAAGCAACGAAAAGTACTGTTAGTGACGAGAGGAAAGAATGACATGAAGAAGTCACCCAACCAGTCCCGTGATGAACGTGGGAGTAAAGCTGATCACTATGCCCTGGTCATCTTTAACAGAAGAGATATCCAATGTGGCCAACATAGTCACAATGGCAGACCACACGAAGGTATCAGCAGTATACCACCCTGATCAAAGTCCGTATGTGAGCGAATCTTTTCAAAGTTCAAGATACTTAACGAACCTGGACATCCACGACGGTCAAAGCCGAAAATGTATTGTGCGGGATCATCGTTTGTTAACGCGCCATGAACGTCGATGAACCTCTCTGGTATGAAACGAGATGCATTGGGGTACCGCTTTTCATTCCATGTGATACCCCTACAATCAAGTCAGTGTCACGAAAGCTGTGAGGAACATATTGGACCATGTATTGTACATGATGATCGCGCCTTGGGTACGATATTATAAGTGATCATTGTGTTGATAGGACAAAAACAGCGAACCTTTTGGAATGAAATAGCCAACGTATGTGTCATCACTCGAGGTAGCATGTGGTATGCCTATGAAATCGGTTTCAGTACAGGCCAGATCATCGGCGGAAAAGCATACCAAGGCATGAAATGGGCTGCCATCGGAAAGTCTCTCGCAAAACTGCATCAATGTAAGGTAGTGATGCTCTGTCCTCGAACGTTGGCAACTGATCTTTTCCAACCACTGAGTCGATTTTCGGTTGTGTGCGTTTCTGGACATCTGGATATAATACCATAGCCAAAACAAAAACCATCAAAGTTGCCTCGGTCTGTCACAAGGATAGGCAGCAGATAACGTGGTGAAGTTATCCGCTTAATACAGTCTGATATGAAGCTGTGTGATATTAGTGTATGTCGGAAGCATAACGTTGCTTATAAAAATGCCGATATCGTAGTCATATACCGCTGACATCACAACAGATAGACAAGAATCTGCGAACAGGTAAATAATGACTCAAGTTGTAAAAGCCATTTACTGACGTTGCGAAGTGGTCATGATAATGTTGAGGGTCATCAGCTAGGTTGACGACCATCTCATGAACCCGCCTGATCTGCATTGGGCGAAATTTTACTGCAGGCTCGGGACCAAAAGTTGGGTGGAAGAGTCGTCAGCAAAGACGCCATTCATTGCCATCACCGCTGAATCCAAAGTTGACCGAATATCCATATCTGCAAGAACCTTAAACTGGTTGAATAGAAAAATACTGAAAGAACGCACGGCTCGAGTGTGGCTAAGTATCTTCGATCGGAGTAAATCCGAGAACACTTGTCCAATAAGGCTTCTGCAATGTGCTCAGAATTGACCACGATGATTTCCTGGTCTAGAATTCGCACAAAGACCAAGTCCCCTGATGCAATAATTTGCAGTACATATGCCTGCACTATCTGTTCACGTACCATACGCAGCATTCTATTCGGTATAAGTCAGCCGAGGCTCCTGAGAGTCGACAGATAAGATGTTCCCCAACAGTGGGAGCGGCACTGAGCCAGGAGGAAGAGAAGGGCCATTCTGTCGCTTCTTGATGAATCGCCTAAGTACCGTGACAGCGACAAAAGAAAGAGAAATGCCAGCGAGGATAGCAAAGTGACCATGAACCACAGGGACCATGATTCAAGCAGTGGGTTAGCAAACCATATATGATGCAACCATCCTTATAACCGCGGGGATGTAGTGAATCGTCGTTGATTATGCAACTCAATGATGTGTCTCCTATCGCTCTATATATATATTGCTTCTCGCTCAAATTACATCGACTCCTGTGTGGGCGGTGAATGATCTGGAGAGATCCGATAATCATAGAAGGAGAAGACATACACAAGGTGAAAAGGGTATAAGATCGAGCAAGCAATATGCATCCGAGCGTCGTGTTTGAAGGCAAGCAGCTTAGTTATCTTTGCATTCCAGAATTTTGCTGCGTCCTCATAGTGTCCGCCGCCCGTCGCAAATTTTGTGTGTCGTCGAGTGAATAGATCACCACCCACGCAGACCCATTCAGGCAGGTGCATAGCACCTTGTACCCGATCGATTCTCGTTCCTTACTGGTCGGGGAGGACAATGGACATGGTCAGCGTTCGATGACCACCACAGATCTTGACTATGTATGCGAGCGAAGCCCACAAAAATAGTCGAATGAGAGGGTTTGTCTGGCAGTGATTTATCATCACCAAAATTCCCCAAGTCTGAACTTGCCTTATGCGGACATTTTCCCGCGCCACACACTTGTGAGAGCCGACGGTGTGATGACGTGTGATGGCAATGAGCTCGCACGTTGAACACCACTCCCTCAGACGTACAGCAGCACACTTGTGTGTTCCTAAGGTTCCCGTCAGTCTGACGTGCCTCTGGTAAGTTCAGATATTATTCATGCTCCCCAGATATGTCCTGATCTCAATCGGCCAGTTGGCCAACATGTCACATGCTGTGACACTTCTTCATGGCCCGGGACTCGCGGTTACTTAGTGCAGTGACCTTGCCCTTTCATCTCGCATTACCCTCATGCGGTCAGCTCAATAGACCCTCCGGTTTGAGTGCCACCACAAACTTGGGGATCTATTGTGCTTATTGCGTGACCAATGGCCATATTCAACTCGGAATGACAAGGTGAGTGATTCTCCGTTATTCATATTCTGAAGTTCTGTCTCTACATAAGGAACCGACCTTTCCTCTCCGCATGGTGACCTTATGGCTGCTGAATATCAGCTCCGACTTGGAACCTCAGCACTCCAAACCTGTGAGTTGATTCCCTGCCCTTCATATTCTCAAGTTTTCGTTGCAGGCTTTCGCCATGGACATTCCTACTTGCATTGGTTGTGGGAAATCTTACAAAACACAGAAACAGCTCTCCAAGCATGCCTCGCAATGCCAGCAGAACCGCGCATTCACCCTGGAGTCAGTTCTTGCAAAGCGGGAGAACAAACGAAAGTCGCAAGCCAGAGACAAGCTCCGCAATGCCAAGAAGTCTCGTTTACCTACCCCCGTTGTTGAGCAAGAACTCGACTACGTCGACCTTGATCAGAACATTCCGTTTGATGATCCTCAGGCTGCAGGGCCTTCAGGTCAGCCACATGATGTAGTAAGTTCATGACTGATTATATGCATGTATCGTAGTAATTTCTTTTAGGATGCACCTGTTGCAGGACCGTCAGCTCAGGCACTTCCGCCCACCCCACCTCCACCCATTACTTCAAAACGTTCGGGGCGTGCTATCCGCATGCCTCGACGGTTCATCGACTATCTTCCTGGCTCAGATATACCCCTGGCACACATGCCACGGCAACAACCCGAGTATCACCCATCTCCTCCACGACCTCCATCTGAGCCTTCTCTCGATGAGCAGCCATTGGCCAAACCATTCGAGACCGAGCCAGATTCCATGGGCTTATATCGAATCTACCCTACGCACCCCACATTCATTCCTCCGAACGACTCATCTCTAGTTAATCGAACAGATGCACCAACACTAGATGGAGAACGAGCAGAGTCATCCGATGTGCATGCATCTACAGGATTTGCACCACCCGATGTGGATATAGATCATATTTTCGATCCGTTTACCAATCCGACGTGTGGGTTGATGATGACCTGGCGCTACACTGGAACTAATGACAAGTCCGATGCTGAAGTTAACCGACTATCTCACTTCCATCAGCACCCAGCCTTCAAATTGCAAGACCTGCTTGGCTTCAACTGCGCTCGTGAGTCCAAACTGATGGACAAATATCTACAAGATAAGACAAATCCACTGCGAGAAGAATTTGGCTGGCGTCAGTCAACAGTCAGAATACGCCTTCCGAAAGAACGACAGACATGGCCATCTGAGAAGGATGCACCAGAACTCGAGGTGCCAGGCATTTATCACCGCTCGATAATGTCAATCATCCGCTCAACGTTCGAGGACGACATTGCCAAGACATTCCACATGACTCCCTATTCCGAGTACTGGAAGGTCTCTGACACCAAAACAGTCCAAGTTTTCTCCGAAGCATACTCCTCACCTGCCATGCTCGATGCCTATGCCGAGATCAATGCCTTTCCTTGTGAGCCAGATGACGACCTCGAACGTGTGCTGGCCCCTCTCATGATGTGGTCTGATGCGACCCATCTTGCCAGTTTCGGAGACGCCTCGCTATGGCCATTCTACCTGTACTTTGGCAACCAATCTAAGTACACCCGAGGAAAACCAACATCTTTTGCGGGTCACCACCTCGCCTACATTCCCTCGGTATGTTTTATCTTCATTACTGTTTATATGGCAGTTGAGTTATATATATTACAGCTCCCCAACAATCTTCAAGAAATATATGTTGACATATTTGACGAAGCCACAACGGACCAGGTCCACACATTCCTTAAGCGTGAACTCGTCCAAGCGATCTGGAAGCTGTTGCTTGATGGTGACTTTATGCACGCCTACGAGCATGGTGTAGTCATTCATTGTAGTGATGGAATCACACGGCGCGTTTTTCCTCGATTTTTTTCGTATTCTGCAGATTATCCTGAGAAGTGCGTCTAAGTTTTTCTTTAATTGTTGTGCTTAGTAGCTTATTGTACTACTAGGGTTCTTCTTGCAACCATCAAGTTTTTAGGCAACTGTCTATGCCCACGCTGCCTCGTCAAGAAAGCTAATGTCCCTGATATGGGCACCAAGCTTGATATGAAATGCCGAGAGACTAGGCAACGGGTGGATAATGAACGGCGCCGACGTCGTGTAGAAGATGCTCGCAAACTTATTTTTCAAACAGGTGCATCTGTTGATGGTGCTCGTGTCAAAGCGCTTCTCAATGCTGAATCTTATGTTCCTGTTCGTGTGAGTGTTTGTCTTTTCCGTGCATTCTCACATTGATACTCAATGAACCAACATAGAATGCATTTTCAGTTCAGCTCGCACCATTCGACTTCAATGTGTTCATGATGTTTGTGATTGATCTACTGCACGAGTTTGAACTTGGCGTTTGGAAGGCCATCTTTATTCACTTATTGCGCATTCTCCATGCTCAAGGTGGTACAGTGATTCAGGATCTAAACGAACGGTGAGTAATTACATTCATAGCCTTTTGCTAATCTAACATGTGATTGAAGCTACCGAATGATCCCCACTTTCGGCCGTGGCACTATTCGACGATTCCATACAAATGCTTCAGCTATGAAGCGACTAGCAGCTCGAGATTTTGAAGATCTTCTCCAGGTAATTCGATAGAATTGTTTGTGCGTTGTGCTTATGATATTATGTAGTGTGCTCTTCCGGTTTTCGAGGGTCTCCTACCAGGACTTCACAATTCAATGGTCTTGGACCTACTTTTTGATTTAGCAGTGTGGCATGCTTTTGCCAAGCTCCGCTTGCACACTGATGATACACTTTCACTCTTCGACCATGCTACAGTTATTCTTGGAAAGACAGTCCGGAATTTTCAGAATAGTACATGTATGCACTACCATACTACTGAACTTCCCCAGGAGTACGCAACACGAGGACGACGCGAAGCTGCTCTGAGTGCCAAGCAAGGTCTACTTTCGAAGCAAAAGGGGAAGGGAAAGTCATCTGGCCCAAAGGTCAAGAACCTTAACCTTCAGACATACAAGTACCATGCGCTCGGAGACTATCCCAATACGATCCGACACATGGGAACAACAGATAACTATTCAACACAACCGGTGAGTGCTACAATTAACTTTTGAATTAGTGCTTAGTGGTGTTCTCCTAGGGTGAGCTGCAGCACCGACGTGCTAAACGCTGGTATCCTAGGACACCAAAGAACAAGAAGACGCTGCTGAAGAATATGGTGGTTCAAGAGGCACGAACTCGTCTAATTGCAAAGATCAACACTCAAGTGGGTAGGGTCATTGCTGTACGCTTGGGGCAGTCAAGACGACAACGACAACGAACATCCCCCTCTGATCACTATCACATCTCGAAATATCCCAGGGCATCACACGACCTTACTGGCTGGTTGAGTGATCTTGAAGACGATGATCCTGCTAAAATGGTCTATTTTTTGCATACATGCTTGTATATGTATTGACAATGCTCCCTTCAGAACTTCATCCCCCGGCTCAAAGATCATCTCCTTGCTCGTCTCCGAGGTATTGAATATTCAGGCGATGAACACGACTTTTCCAATTCAGACCGAGACCTCATTATCCTGGCAAACAACAAGATTCACGAGCATAGTATTTTACAGATCAATTACACGACCTACGATCTAAGAAGGGAACAGGATTGTATTAACCCTCGAACTCGAGCTGATTTAATGGTCCTCTCACACGAGAATGATGAGGAAAAGCATCCTTACTGGTATGCTCGACTAATCCGCATATTTCACGTCAATGTTTGGTACTATGGTGGTGATAACACACCTTCGACCTCGAGGCGTATGGATGTTCTTTTCGTGCGCTGGTTTGGACGGGACATGACCTTTCCAGCTGGTTTCTCAAACAAACGCCTGCATCGCATCGGTTTTATTACCAATGACACCAGCAATCCAGATGTTGATTCTGGCTGCTTTGGCTTTGTCGATCCTGATCAGGTGATTCGCGGAGTGCATTTGATTCCCGCCTATGCATACAAACGCACAAACCAGTATCTGGGACCTTCCTTTGTTCGACGTGAAGAAGAGGCTGATGATGACTGGCGATATTTCTATGTCAACATGTAAGTCAGGTGTTTTATTCTCAGGACAATATCTCACCTCGATTAAATAGATTTGTAGACCGTGACATGTTCATGCGCTTCCGTGGTGGCGGGATCGGTCATAAAATTACCTGAGAATGGGATGAGTTCCTGCAGCGTGATGGCGCATCTGATCAACAGGACACTGCCGCAAGTGACGATGAAGATCTTGATATAGAGGGTGCCGAGGGAGATCTAGAAGAGGAGCTTGTTGAGTTTGACAAAGATGAGGATGACAGGGAAACAGATGACGAGGAGGAGGATGACGAGGAAGATCCAGATAGAGTCATTCCAGACTCAGACGAGGAGCTAGATGATGATGTCCTTGCTCAGGCAGGATACGGTGCGCTGTAGTTGAAAATAATGATTTGATGATTTAGCTGTGTCTACTACAAATGTGTGTGTCGTAGAAATAATAGAGATGTAAATCGGCGCAGGGAGGCAAGATACAACTAGAAGATCACATCATTACCGTCCATAGTCATATTCAAATAAGGATCAAAAGCAGGTCCAATAGCAAGCATGATTCAAGCAGAGGGTCTTCTTGCTTGTAGCGTACGAGCTTGAGAGTGGCTGGGTATGCCGTGGCCTGCGATCCTGATAATAAATGTTATAAGGTTATGAGACAAAGGCGCGACGGCTCACGCACTTCATCACCAAAACCGCACATACGGGCACGCATAGGGTGTTGTACTACTTCAAGGGAATAATGCCTGATGATCGTTAAAGGTTAAGAAGAATGGCGGACAACTCGGGACATAATTGACTGACTTTCGGCCCACCATTGTCCCCGTTGCTCGATGTCTGCATCAGAATCTTGACGAGGTTGATGATCAATGTTGGAGCGGTTATTTGACTTTTGAATCATGAAAGTTTGCAAGATGTGAGGGCAAGGGTGTGATGCGGTATAGGGGAAGGAGAAAGGCACTTGTATGAAATCGGGTTGTCTGCGGACAATTTAGACTCGAGGTCGCGCTAAAGGAGAACTGTAAATGTAGTGAGCGCATTGTGACTAGGGTAGGGTTAGGGATATGCACCTTCAAGGCGTCACCTCCCTCATGAGGGCGCCTAAGACAAGAATATACGCCAGATCATAGGTGCTGGCGCGCCGACCTCCAGCACAGCCAGCACCTCCCAGGCGCATAAGTGAAAATTGTGAATGAGGATATGAGTGCATAAGTCAATGGTACAAAACAAGTTCGGACTTCCCGTTTCGAAAGTCACGTGACTTTCAAAGTCAGTCGGCATTTTCCAGAAATAAACAAAGCGTCAATAACACGTCGATCTTTGCTTAGCGCTTATCTCTTATACCAACACCATTAATTTCAATCGTTTGACACGTCTGTATAATGCTCATCACTAATACTGAAGATCACCTCGACCTGGCCAATAGGACGTCATTTTTCCATGACAATGTCGTCGTGTTGGAGATCGACAATATGCTGTCTGGATGGCCGACTTATACCCTCGATTTTACACCGGAACACCCGGGCCCATTGGTATGTGTCTTCAATATATTTGAATTTCTTAGTACTGACATTGATACTATAGAAAATTATACTACGGTTGAAGGATGCTGTAGAGTTCAGGATGATCGAAGATAAAGATAGCGATGACGAAGCTGATGAACAAGCCAAGAGGTATTTTTTCGCTTCTTATTAACTTGAATGTACTAACATATTCTGACTTCGTAGTGAATCACAGCCTGTCGCTGAGGATCCAGACACTACGATGGTCTGTGAGCCAACACCGGCATCCAGGTAAGTTTTTTTTTGATCCATTATTGTGACATTGGCTCAGCTCTTATGGTGCTTGCAGGGACTCAAACATGCCTCAGCGCATCAGCGCAAAGCCTGTTGTGCTGCATGTCATCCCCACGGATCCTCCCAGCATCGTCCATATACGGAAGAAATTCCAGGACGAGCATGACTATACGTGGCCTCCCGCCGTGGGTTCAGGGAAAGCTCTACCACAACGCGAATCACTCAGATTGATGCACTCATGACCTTACCCGCAGCTGTAGAAGCCTTAAAGCTTGATTAGTTAGACTAATTTTTTTTCTTCGTGCACTGTATCACTCTTTCGCAGCACAATATTGCAGGTTATCGTGTTTCATCGCTGTCGTGTTTACTTTCATGGACTAATAGTAACGTAAATCACTCGAGTTGTAACTGTAGTATTAATTTTGTACTTCTTGTTGCGCATATAATCACTGTTGACAATGGCAGATTCACATTAACATGTACACATAATGATTAAATGATCATTCATTGCTTAATGTTAACATTTAACGTTGTAACCCTTAACCATCATGTCTTCACATCATCGTCCTGGCGTGGCGTCGAGCTCCTCTGACCCCCCTGACTCAGATTCAATCTATGCGCGTGGTTCTTCAGTAACATCATTCGATTCTTCTCCCCAACCTGTCAAAATTGGGAAGCGCAAGTCAACATCAGAGCCATCGAAATCCAGCAAACGGAAACGCAAGGCTCCAGAAAATAGTGGAGAAGAGCTCGAAATACATGATGTCAAGGCTAAGGCATCTAAACGTCCATGATTGCAAGGTTTTTTCACTTATATGCACGCATATATTGACTGATATCGCATATTAGCCATAGAAAGGATAATCGCAAGGAAAAGTAAGTTTCTTTAATACTTGAGACATTGATTCTGATAAGACTCGAACATCTGAAGGGGTGCTTTAACTCCACGGGACCAATGTCTTCACTTTGCTCGGTGGATCCCTTGAGGGATCGACATGTTTTGCATCCTCAAGGACGTCTTTCGCATTGCACCCATCATCGAGGATGCACGTGCTCACTTGGATGATGACTCCGACGCAGATGACATGCACGATACTCTCTTAGCTAACATGTAAGTGATATTTTTTGCGTTTCGTGACTTTATTACTGCTAACAGTGACTAGATCCAAAGATACGCAGGACCAGATGCTCCGGATGTTCAAGAAGATCATTACAGGTGCCCCTTACCTTCAAGAACTCATAAGAGGTGGTCGCAAAAAATCGGATGAACTGCAGGAGATCTTTGACGAGGTATGTGCGCATATATGCACCTTTCAGTTGACTAATGATCAAACAGATGCAATATTTGATTGGACAGGTGCGATCCGAAGATGCGGCTCATCTGAAAAGGAGCATTGCACGTTATGCAGTGTTTAATGGAAAAGGTCTGGTGCCGCCCATCTTCCCTGATACCAAGGAATCGCGTGCACAGATGGGTCTCAACCACCCTCAACTCGCTTGCATGCTATGCCCCATAAAGTTTCTTTCAGAGTATCAAACGGACCCGTCAGCGTACGTACTACATTATACTTTTTTCTATATTTCTATGAACTAACATCGCCTAACCAGCACAAAAGCCAAGCTTGAGGCTGGCACTATCAAGATGGATGCACGAGCTTGGCCTGCCCTGATGTATAGGGCTGGAGCCACTGGAGTCGCTGGGGAGGACTTCGACATAACAAACGTACAGGACGGCCTTTTCGAAGGATTCCTCATTGAACGTGTGAGTTTCCGTATACTGGTATTCATGACAGGAACTCACTGGCACATTATTCAAGGTAATGAAACATATACTCACCGGCCCCTCATCTGCACTCACTGGAGACGACTTTCATGTCTCAAACTCTTGCAATGCGGTACTTCACAGAATGATGGCTGTGGAAGCCGAAAACGTCGCTTATTCAGCTGTCCAGGTGAGTTATTCCCTTGAAGGTGATATACTGATTCATTCATTTTCTATAGGCACGCTCTGCAATTACCTCTCGTGACAAGTGGTCCACGGACGATGGAAATTTCTCATATCGAAAATTCTATTACAGAATTATCGACGTCATTCTCAATCCACCGGACAAAGCATGGGCTATGGCGACTCTGCAACATTATAACCTGTATGTCAAAATTTTATAGTAGTACATGCACTGATTGTTTTACTTTTTAAGGAAACTATTCAAAGACAAGGCTGGACGTGCTGCTGCCCTCTCGACCTCTGCAACCTCTGATGTCGGAGAGCCGGACGAGGACGAGGACGACATTGCGCTGATGCGCAAACAGTTTGCCCTTCGATCTGCGAATCCCTCGAGTGTAGCGAAACCTGTCTCAACTCCTCCTGTTCCAGCAAGTTCTGAGATGCTTCCCCCACGGCTGCGCTCGACCAAGGTCACAAGCCCGCCTGTTTCGCCTTCTCCAGAGCCACCCTCACCTGTTCCACCCACTCCCAAGCCACGTCCCATTCCTAAGCCACGTCCCATTGCGAAGGCGCGACTGGAAGCTCCAAAGTCACCTGCACCAAGTCCACCCACCCCCAAGGAACATCCTGCTGTGGAGGCACAAGCTCCGAGCTCACCTTCACCTGCTCCAAGTCCACCCACTCCCAAGGCATGTCCTGTTCCCAAGGCACGTCCTGTTCGTAAAGCCCCATCCGAGGAATCCACACCACTTCCCCGCAAAAAGGGAAAGGTGGCCCCACCAGAAAGCCCACTTACAGAATCCGAACCGTCGGATGAGGAGGTTGAGACTCCAGTTCGAAGATTGCCTCGGCAAGCTCGACCAAAGGCCGGCCGCAAGACTGCCGCATCCGCTAGCGCACCAAAGAAAAAGAAGGGAAGAAAATGACCTGTAATGATTTTCCATTGTCTCGTCATTGACACTGATTTTCTCACCTAGTGTGTGTCTCATACTACCGCATCTGCCTCACTCCACGTCGCTGTTCGTCGTTGCATGTTTTGCTCTTTTCGCATGTCATCCTACCTCTAGAGTCCTTCTGTCATGGGACGCTTTGGCGCATGGGCGCACTTAGATGTACTTTTAGAACCTGCTCTGTCCTTGTAATACATTACTGCAATGAAATGGTCTTATCAGATTTTCTCGAGTGATCAGAATTTATCAGAACTTTCAACATATCAATGCTTCTAAGGTCACAAACTATGCTAAGGTGCGAGTTACCTACTCAACTTCCGTCATCTGGCCTGAAAAAGCTTTTATCAACCAGACCTTATATGTTTCTTTACCCGCCTTCCGTACGCTGATGCACCTGGTCCACCTTTTCTGACCTTCCGCATCCTGGCCAGTCCTTAGCAGCCCAGATCCGATTTGGGGAATTTTGGTGATGATAATGCCTCTACAGGCCTATCTTTCGAGATGGTCACAAGAATTAGTCAAAAATGCAGACGACTCCGAAAAAGCCTGACAGTACTCGGCAGTGATCCTTGCCAAGCTTGGCTGAACCGTGTAGCATAGCTTTAGGATGTTGAAGTTAGAACGGTTTGAAAATGTTGAGAAACTCGTCACAAGCTTACATTCATTAACAACTTTTCAGCTAGGACCTGCAACTTGAAATGGGAGATCAGCATATTTGGAAAGCTACACCTATGTGAGTCCCAGGCCATCCAACAAACAACACGACAAGGTTCTCAAGCACACCCTTAGGCCTGGAAACAATTTGCCAACAGTTGCTCGACGAAACACCGA